TTTTTTGTGGTACGCGGGCCTCTCACTGTTGTGGCCTCTCCCGTTGCGGAGCACAGGCTCCGGACGCACAGGCTCAGCAGCCATGGCTCACGGGCCCAGCCGCTCCGCGGCATGTGGGATCCTCCCGGACCGGGCCACGAACCCGCGTCCCCTGCATCGGCAGGCAGACTCTCAACCACTGCGCCACCAGGGAAGTCCCAGGACATTTTTAAAAGGTAAAAATTCACTTCTAGCAAAGATATAGCAAAAAGGAGCAAATTTATCTTCCCACATGAAACAACCAAAAGTCATACAAAATATATGAAACAATGGTTTTAGACACTAAATATAAGCAACAAAAGAAATGGGAAACAAATGAAGATGCCCTGCAGCTTACTGCCTTTAGAGGGTTTCCAGGCCACTATGAAGGAGGCGGAACCCAGACACACTCCAGAAGACTCTTAGTTTGGAACAGAGATAAAAGTCTATGGAGATTAAGGCATCTTGAGTTCACAGAACAGAATACTGGAGAGAAAGTAATTGCCCAGAGGGAGAGCCCCAAAAGGCCCACAGAGGTCCCTTTTTAGTATTCAGCAGACTAGTAATCAGCACATGCATATGAGGGAACTACTAGCAAGTGAACAATGGGACATTTACATTTAAAATATCATTTAAATAGCATCAAAATATGAAATATTTAAAAATAAATCTGAGAAAGAGTGAAAAACTGTACAATGAAAACTACAAAACACTGCTGAGAGAAATCAAAGACAAATAAATGCAGATACACCATGTCTGCAGGTCACAAGACCCAAGTTTGTTAACATGTCAGTTTTCCACAAATTGATCTATAGATTCAACACAATCCCAATCAAAATCTCAGCATGTTCTTTTGGTAGAAATTGACAGGCTGATTCTAAAAGTCATATGGAAATGCAAAGAGCCCAATATTCCCAAAATAATTCTGAAAGAGAACAAAGCTGGAGGACTAACATTATTCTAGCTCAAGACTTATTATAAAGCTACATTATGTGGCATTGATATAAAGATAGGCAAATAGAACAGTAGAATAGGATGAATAGGAGAAGGAGTCCAGAAATAGATCCAACCATGAACAGGAAACTGATTTTTGGCAAAGGTGCAAAGACAATTTAGTGGAGAAAGGACAGTCTTTTCAACATATGGTATTGGGACATTTGGCTATCTGCTTGCAAAAAATGAACTTCAATCCAAAAATAAAAGAAAAAGAAAAAAAACTTCAAAATACAACAGAGACGAAAATGTAAAACTTAAAACTATAACACCTCTAGAAGACAACGTAGAAAATCTTAATGACCTTGGATTAGGCAAAGATGTCTTAGATATGACAAAAAACATGATCCACAAAAGAAAAAACTGATAAACTAGACTTTAACAAAAGTAAAAACACCGGCCCTTTTAAAGACACTATGAAGGGAACGAAAAGACATTATAAGTTACAGACTGGGATAAAATATTTGCAAATCCTATTGGAAAAAGGACTTGTATGTATCCAGAATGCAGAAAGAACACTCAAAATTTAATAATAAGCAAACAGTCTAATATGGAAAAGATTTAAACAGATACCTCACCAAAGAAGATATACAAGTAGCAAAGAAGCACTTGAAAAGATGCTCAATGCCATTAGTCATCAGGAAAATGCAAATTAAAACAACAACGAGATACTACCCCTCAGCTATTAAAATGGCTAAAATTTAAAAGACTGACCATACCAAGCAGTGGCAAGAATGTGGAGCAACTGGAACTCTTACACACTGCTGGTGGGAATGTAAAATAGCACAACCACTTTGGAAAACAGTTTGGCAGTTTCTTTAAAAGTTAAATATTTACTTATCATATGATCCAGCCATTCCACAGTTAGGTATTTTCCCTAGAAAATAAGAAATGAAAGTGTATGTCCGTAGAAAGACTTGAACCCAAATGTTCAAGTGGCATTATTTGTAATAGCCCCTAACTGGAAATAACCGAAATTTCCATCAACAAATGAATGAATGAACAAACTGGTCTATCTGGACAATGGAATTCACTCAGAAATAAAAAGAAATAAACTACTGATGTTCTTAACAAAATGGATGAACTTCAAAATTATTATGAACTTCGATCCCCAAAAAATTAACCCAAAATATACTATAAAGGACAAAAAAATGCATACTATATAATACCATTTATAAAATATTCTAAACATGCAAAGTGGTTGCCTGAGGATGGGGATGAAATTGTGAGAAATTGAAAGGGAAGATTACAAACAGGCACAAGGCAACTTTTAGGGGGAATGGACAGTCACCTTTATTGTGGTGATAGTTTCATAAGTAGGTACACATGTCAAAACCTATCAAATTGTACACTTGAATCCAGCTTATTGTATGTCAGTTTTACCTCAATGTTTTTCTAAAAGGTGAGAAAAATCTCCACTTCCCCACCCAGGAAAAGATACATGTGAAGATGAGAGTAGTAGGAACAATCAGAAATACAAATTTAAATCCTTTTCCCATTTCATACGGACAACACACAGATCTAAAATGAAGTGACTTACCCTTTTTCTCACATACAGAGACTGTAATGCTATTATGTGATTCAACTAAATGGTGGAGCTTTACAGATTGCTGAAAAAGAAGAATAGAAAATTTTGAAAAGCCTTTTCTATTTGAGGATAGGTCCCAGATATTATTCAGTAAAGTGTTAGCCTTCTTTAAAGATGGAGCCAACTGAATGTACTGTTTTAAAAACAAGACTGAGTAGCCTCCTACTCAACTGAAAAAGCATCCAACTTGTGGTACTCTTCAGCCAGGGATAATAAGTACGTGTTGTTTAATGGAAAGGAAGTTCCCAGCGTGCTCTGTCCACTCAAAAGAACTTTGATCATTCAAGATTTATGTTTATACCTAAACAGTTTCAAGAACCAAGCATTATTTCAGTTTTGGGTTATCCCATATCAGAGTTCCTAATCTAACTTCATAAGGAGTTTGATTGTTCCTGTTATTCCCTCATAGTATTTGCTGTTTTAATATGTGAAATATACAGGACATTGAGAGTGAATAAATAAGAGGAGACAAAAATAATAATACAATTATATTTGATTTCACATTTATTAAGAAATTATTGTGTGAAAGACCTTTTACATGGTCCTGGGGATTACAAATTTCCAATCATTTAGTGTTTTCATTTTTTTATTCTGATTTTGTCATTTAAGACTCTCCCTTAATCTCCTAGCTTCAAATCATTTACAAATCTGATTAATATGTCCTAAGAATGATTAACAGAGTCATATAAGGCGAAAGAGTGTTCTGCTA